TTGCCCCTCTGTGAGGTGACCTCATTACTTCTGCTGTAGCGTTCCTGAGCATCAGCTCTCCCTTAGCCTGACACCAGCTGCGGTGGCTTCCTACACATTCTCTGTTTCTCTGTCTTCTGCTCAGCCTGACTCTTCAGGGCTCACAGCTGTGGCCACTCAGGGGCCCCAGATGGAACCTGAGGTCGCCTTCCTTCTCCAACCTCCACCTCCACCGTGGCCGCCAACTGCATAGCAGCAGCACCCTTTTCCTTGGTCTCAGGCAGTGCAAGACCTTTTCCTCAGTGGTCCACTTCCTCTCTTGCTTCACTTCAATGAAATCCCAGCCTTGTCAGTCGCTGGGGGTAGACAAGTTGGTCTACACTGAGTCTCGCCTGCATGCAGGTCACTGTGCTAGGAGTCTCCTTCAAGTCTCAGAGGAACTCAGTAGGGTAGGAGTTGATCATTTAATGAACAAGGAGACTGAGGCACGCAGAAATCTCCTCTGATTTGCCTCAGACCCCAGACAGATCTGACTCAAGACCATCATACCCCAGACCACTCTGGGTTATGAGATGCCCTGAACTTCCACTCTGGCTAGCACACTGCCTCTTCCCCTGCTTTCCCTCTGCCCCCTGTCAGTCCCATGTTGCCCCTGAAAGGAACTTCTTATTTTTAGATAAGCATTGGAGGCACTATGGTGCCCCAGAAAGTTTCTATTGTCATGGAGCTTACTTTGTTGACTGGTGACAGATAATCACCAAGCACATAGACCACAAAATTGCAGAGTGATATGTGATACTGAAGAAAAATAAGACAAAGCAAGGAGATAGAGAATGACCTGGGAGTGGTGAGAATTAGGGTAGATTGTTTGAGAAGGCCTCCCTGAGAATATGATACTGAAGCTGAGGCTAAAAGAAGCGGGCCCCAGAAGTAAGGGGATGGTTTATCACAGCTAAGAGGGAAAAGCACATGCAAAGTCCCTGTGGTAGGAATAAACTTGGAGTATTTGAGGAATAACAGGAAACCACATGTGGCAAGAGTTGGGTGACATGCAGGCTAGTATGTAAATGAGCCAGGTTGTGCACTAGGTGGGTCTGGCTAGCCATGGTAAAGACTTTGCCTTTTATTCTGAAGGTGACTGGAAGGTACAAGTGAGGTCAAAGGGAGCGCCAGATCTGTTTTAAAAGGATGGTGTTGCTCCAGGTGAGGAGCAAGCATGCAGGTGGTAGAGCAAGCAGTTAGGATGTTCCTTCTATTTGCTGGGGAAAAACAGAGGGGAGGAGGTGGAAAAAGGCTACTGCATTTGTCATAAGCCTTGGAGGTTAAGCCAGTCTTGCTGAATGTGAGGGGAGAGAGGGTAGCTCAGGATGGCTGGGGGGCTCTGCTCTGAATTTCCTGAAGTGGAGATGGAGCGGGTGGAGCTGGTGGAGCTGGTGCTCTGGAGGAGGCTGAAGCTGGAGAACTACTGTGAGGGCTCTTGGAAAGAGACAGCTTTGCAACCAATGAATGAGGGCATTTGGCCTGGATTTGTCTCCTGAGTCTAGATGACTCTTTTGAGTGCTTTTGCTGCAAAGGAAAAAAAATGGGGTATACTATGGGTTCAATTGTATTCCCTTAAAAAATGTCAAAGACATTCCCTGCAAGTATCTGTGATTGTGACCTTGTTTGCAGGTGAAGTCATTGGACTGAGCCCTGATCCAATGCCCAATGTCCCTAGAAGAGGCAAGCTGGGCACAGAGAGAGATGTGCCCAGAGGGAAGACGACATGAAAAGCCACCAGGGGATGGTGGCCCTCTGCAAATGAGGCAATACCCAAGGCCAGCAGGAGTCAGAGAGACTCGGCTTCACAGCCCTAGAAGGATCCAGCCCTGACCACACATTGACCTTAGACTTCTGGCTTCCAGACTGGGAGACCCTGAACACCTGTTGTTTAAGGCACCCAGTCTGTGGTGCTTTGTTATGGTAACCCTGTAAACTAACAAAAGGAGGTACAGAGGCAGGTGTGGGGTCCAGGGGCCTGCTTCAGAGGGAGATGGAACAACACACTCACAGCAAAATGGACACGATCCAGGGCCAAGAAAAAGTGGGATGTGGGAGACAGAATGTTTGTGTCCTGGGACTTTGCACATGAAACACATGTGGTCACCTCTGGCCGCCACCCACCTGTCCTGGTCTCAGCCGCTGGTTCCATTCCCTGAGCAGGTGTGGGATCTCTGTGCTCACCCAGGTCCTTTTCCCATCTCTGCACCTCTCCTCATTTTACAATTGCTTTTCGGATTCTGCATCTTGAACCCTTCACTGCCCAGCACTCTGGGGGTAACCAGGAGCAGGAGGGGTGCTGAGCCGAGCAGAGAGCCTGGGCATCACATTTATTTACACGAGGGAATGTGAAATCCTGCTGGGCTGTGCTTGGCCGCAGGTTTTAGAACTCCTGTTGGAAAATGGGTCCTAGCGCTTTCCATTTTCCCCATGGGCAGACTTTGCTGTTGGCTCCGTTATCTCGGCCCTTTGGGGCTGTAAATCTACAAAGGCTCCACCAGGTACTCATCACTGGGAGCAGACCCTGTGACTCTGCGGTCTGGGAAGTCTCTTAACATCCCTGACTCTTGGTTTTTCCACAAGTCAAATGGGGGCAGAGCTGCTTTCTCCCTCTTTCAAAGATGAGGGTGTGGAAATGGAGGCCTAGCTACATTTGGAGGCAGGAAACTCACACTATGGTTCTTGGAGAAGAGGATATACACACATGTGACAAGGAAGGGAAGCCTTAGTCACTCATATTCTTTATTCCAAATTTTAATTTAAAATCATGTTCATCGTGGAAAATATACAGAAGATAAAACGCACCTAAGTAAGCATTTCGGGGTGTACGTTTCAGTAGTGTTAAGTACATTGTTGTTGCTCACAGGCAACTATTGCTAGAACTTTTTCATTTTGCCAAACTGAAACTCTGTACCCTTTAAACAACAATTTTCTGTTCCCCCTCCCCCAGCCCAGGAAACCACCATTCTACTTTCTGTCTCTACGAATTTGACTATTTTTGGTGTCTCGTAGAAATAGAATCACACAGTATTTTCCCTTTTGTGCCTGGTTTACTTCATGCAGCATCATGCCCTCGAGGTCCACCCAGGCTGCAGCAGGGGTCAGAATTTCCTTTCTCAGGCTGGATAATATTCCATTGTGCATCTACGACACACTTTGTTCATCTTTTCCTCTGAGGATGGGCATTTAGATTGCTTCCACCTCTGGCTATCACTGAATTGTGCCACTGTGAATGCCGGTGTCCAATTGGAACTCTGAATCTCATCCTGTGTCTCCATTTATTTTCTCTTATATTCTTCACGGAGTCTGTGTTTTTGATTCTTCTTTCGTCTAAGCAACATTCTCAGGAGGCCTTTGTCAAGGGAGCTCAACACAAGATAATTTAAGGTGAGATGGCTTTGGAGTATTTTTCTCAGAGGACCATCTGTTTTATCTCCACTCGACTTTAAAAATGCTGGCACTGTTTTCGATTGAATATGAGGCTTTTTTTTCTCTCTGACATTTATACGACCAAAGGTGGAAAAATAAGACCTTTGCTTATTAACAAAATGAATCAATCTCTTTCCCCCACAGGAACTTGACAACAGGTTAGAGACTGGAGTAAACTTTAGACATCCCTCCGGTGTGGGCTGGGCTGACCTTTGAGTTCAAGTTAAGGGAGACCCAGCCAATTCCACAGAACCCGCGGTCTTGCCAGGGACCAGGATTCTCTGGGTCAGGAGCGCCCTGTTCTGATCTCTCCACACTGTGTAGCCTCTGGAGGGCACAACTGAGGCCGGAGAGGTCACATGTGTTACCAAAGGTTACCCCAGGAGATCGTGGACAAGGGAAAAGCCACGCTCAGCCAGAGCCCTTCCCGAGGCTGCAGCCAACAGATGCTCCAGTGAGGCCTCAAAAGTAGTGGGGCTTAAGACATGGGTTCTTTACTCCCTTTGTCTTTGTCTGTATTAAATGTGTGTAGGGAATTCCCCAAAAGATGGGCAATGGTTAACCCCTCCTTGGGCTGTTTGCATGCTTCCCCTTTGGAGACTGTGGGGCCCTGGAGTTTCCAGACAGCTTGTAAGTCCCTGCCCATGATGCAGGGTCTGTGGCTCAGTTCATGTTTGGGGCAGCCTGCCCTTTCAGTCCTGTACTGCCTCTGCCATTTGCTCAGGGGCAAGAGATACAGAACAAATAAGGTGAAGAAACTGATTGGAAATGGGTTGTAGGGCTAGGGAGAAACTTAGAGATGTGGCCTCGGATGCTCTTTCCAAACATTCTGGGAACGCAGGGCCCAGCTAGGCAACGAGCCAGGAAAGAAGGAAAAGGACAGGGGCTGACTCCTAGCTAATTCAGTGGGCAGCACATAGCGAAGAGAACGCTGTACATGGCCCCTACACAAGTGGGCTGTGAAAATTCTGGACTCTGAAGCTTCTCCCAGTGTCTCATCTTCGGGGAGGGGGGATAAGTCAGAGGGCCTCAGGAAAAACATCATTTTGGGGTGCATGGCACTTGTGGGAGGGGCAGGCTTGGGGGGGCCTCCTCAGTGGCTGAGCAAGCTACTAGGGGGCTGGGAGGCACCTGCAGGTTGTTTCCCAGTCCAAGAGGATGAGCAAGTCAGAGGACAAAAGGTCAAAGGGCACATCAGTGGGGGAGGAAAACAAAACAAAAACAGGAAGTAGCTGCTCAGGGAGTTTCCATAGGAAGGCTGAGAAAGAAATCCTGAGAGAAGGAGAAAAAGGCAGGAAAGGCATCTCCATGACTTCTGGCATCCCTAAATGAGACTGGAAGAGGCCACTCGGGGAGGTGTGGCAGGGCACCTGGCCTCCCAGACCAGAAACTATGGGCCCAGATCCAGTCATCCCCAGCCTTGGAGCCTTGGATCTCCCTTGCCTTGCATCTACATAGCTTTGTCACTTCTGTGTCCCTGCCAGAGGTGTCGTCATGGGCATCCTATTGCTAAAGTGTGAAAAGGGGTCTACAGTAAAACAGAATAACCCTACCTTCGTGCTGTGGTCCACCGATGAAGTTCTGGTGTCCATGGGCAGCAGCAGGAAGAACTGCAGTCACACAGATGAAGCCCTGTGCTCCCCCCTGCCGGCTCTGAGCAGTCACTCAGCCTCCTTTGCCCACTGTGCCTACTTAGCCACTTCTTAGGGACAGATGAGGCAGAGGGAGGCTTCAGGCCTTTCTCCTTCCCTTTCCGAATCAGAGCTACTTCCCGGAGCTGCAGGTAGAGGAGAGGTATGCCCTGTGGACCTCAGCACAGAGGGGGCTGAGCAAGAGCAAAGCTGACACCCTGGGCTGCCCTGCCAGGGCCAGCTGGGAGGTGCTCAGTGCCCCTGATGGGCCTGAATGGAAGAGGTCCTTTGCTCTCAGGAGGAGAGAAAAAAATCCCTAGTTCCTTCCTAGCCCTAGCCTTGTGTCTTGAGATCTTATTTTAGTCCCAGTTATCAAGGAAGTCAGAACTTCATGTGAAAAGGGAAGAATGTGCCAGCCGTCTGCAGCAGCCTGTGTGTAAATGAGTCACACAGCCGCCAGAGGCCAGAGGTCAGCCACCGTACTCAACCATGATTTTGCTCAAAATACACTCAGTTAGGAGGCAGGAAATGGGTTGCAACAACCTCAATTCAAGTGCACGAAAGTTTCCAATTAGGAATTCAAAGAACGTGTTGTTCTTTAATGGAAAAGTGAAGCAAATTCCTTTCATGGGCTTTGCCACCTTCTTGGTGGTCCCTGACTGAAGGCTGATCTGTAGCAGAAATGTGGCTTTCAGTTCACCTGATGAAAGAGAGAGAGCTGCAGAATCTGACTTAATGGAGAGGAAGCTGATTAGACTCTCAGATTCAGGAGCTGGGGGACAATTGCTTGGGCCAAACCTGGTTCACAGCCTGCCTTTGTCAATAAAGTTTTATTGGCACGTGGCCCTGTCCACTTGTTTTCCTACACTCAGTAGCTGCTTTCACAGTTCAAGGCATAGCTCAGTATTTGCAACAGAGTCTATGCCTGGCCAGGGCCCAAAGTTATTCCTTGGATCTTTACCAAAAAAAAAAAAAAAAAAAAAAAAAAAAAAAAAAAACC